ATCAAACTAAGTACAATAATGATGTCAGAGTTACAGTTTAGTTTTTTATGTCAACTTGAAATCAATGACGTATTCATAGGATGAAGGGTGTAACCACTCGCACCCCAATATGAGGACGTAGAAAGTTCTACGTCCAGACAACTGGAAAAAATATTAGAGATTGATCTATATTTGCAACTGATATGTTTTTGGAAGGGGAAAATGTAGTGAGGCCGAATAAAAATGTTCTGAGGCAATCACATTACAGTTTCATCTTAGTGTTGAAGTACTTGAAATTGATGTATTTTGAGAACACTTCATTGTAAGAATTTCAATCAAGATTTTTCAAATCCGCGAGGGGTGTTTCACTCTACATTATCTTCTTCAGGCGTGTTAAATATATTAGTTATTACCTATTGAACACGCCCGAAGAAGCTCGCACGTGACGCAGTTTTGTGATCTGTTGAGTGAAAATCTCACAATGAATATATATTTTTTATCTTCATCAAGGATCGGTTGATTTTATCACTTATTCGATATTGGTTCATTTTTCGTGACCATAAGGTGAATACCACAGCCTTTTTCTACATACAGAAAGTTTCTCATTCATATTGAATCTGCAATATCAATTGGTCAGGAGGTATGTTCAAATGTTCTCATTAAAGTATTTTCCTATACGTTTTGTTGAATAGAAAAAATGAAAACTGCAACCTATTTGATTCAGAAGCTTGCACAAACTCGCAGAATCACAACCAGAGTTTTATATCTGTCTAGAGTCTAGACGATATTTGGCCTGAAATTGATAATAAAGTCAATAAATGTTTGATATAGCTCTCAAATTTATTTAAAAAAGGTAAACACTAGCAAAATATCCAATAGGGAACATGTCTCAGTTTTAAAATATATCGATTTCAACAGGTACAGGCCCCTAACGAAGCTGTTAAATATGCTTGAAATTTACAAATAAAACTTTTTTTATAATACCTACACAACTGAATATACCGAATTTTTGGACCCGTCAAAAAACGTATGCCTGACGGTTTCTGGTGAATACTTAGTTTCAATTTTTCCAAAATGTAATTAACCGATACTTTCTGCGGATTGTTTGTATTTTTAAATATTATTGATGAGCCAGCATTACTGTAGATCGTATTATTATTGATGATAATGATTGTAGTTGGGTTTTTCTGAATATTTATAACCTAACAATTTATTTGTTTTCATTCATGCATTTGTTGGACACATTAAAAACGATTGTTCGCAAAATTTGTTCTATTTTACATGACACTTGATTTAAAATGTTACATGAATAAAATTGTTATTTGAATAAAAAAGACTAATGAAATAACTTGAAGCTTTTAATGATTCCGAAGAAAAATATTGTTTCAGAGTATTGGAAAATGGAACGCCAGTTTACTAAATATATTATGCTGAAAAATAATCTATATACATATAGTTCAACTCAGCAATGAACAAACATTTTTTTCAACAGTCAATGGAATGTATTAATCGAGTAAATTCAACAAACGTTTCAATTCCGCATATAATTTTGACCTTTGAATAAAATGTTAGTTATTTATATGACTGTTGAATTATAATGTATACAAATTCACTTTCTAAAAGTGAATTTGGGAATAAAATTTTAATGAATATATTTCAATGACAGTCACAGTTTTCCCATGAAAAATTGTTGGTAATAAAAATAGACTTTCGTTTGTCTGAAAATATAGCAAATTAACTTTCCATACTGAATATTCTTATATGAATATCAATATTTTTAAAAAGCTAATTTCTGACAAAGAATTAAATTTTTTGATGATTTAAAAAGTTTATTGTTTTTGAAAGATACATTTAAAACGACCGTTGATAATTTTAATTCGACGCTGGTATCGAGCGGATTTATCAAGAACTTCAAGTGTTACATATGGCAACATGCTAGTTCATTTATAGTACGACAAAACGCCGTTCAACCGTTCAACGGTGGCGCCGAATAAAAATTATCAACAATCAATTTAATTCATGTATCACTGAAATTCAACAAACAAAATAATTCACCTCATTTCAAAGGAATAATAATAATTGGTATTTTGTAAAAATGAATTGTTTTGACTATTGCATTTAGGAATACATGAATTAAATTGATTGTTGATAATTTTTACTCGTCGCTGCGGTCGAACGGATTATAACCGTACTATGTCCAACGCTATACATATATGCGTTGGTAATTGTAGTTCCACAAAAATACGCCCGACGTCAGCACCGAATAAAAATTATCAACAATCAATTTAATTCATGTATCACTGAAATTCAACAAACAAAATAATTCAGCTCATTTCAAAGGAATATTAATAAAAAGGCGTGGCACTATGGCACGCCGCTTTACTTTCTATTGGTATTTTGTAAAAATGAATTGTTTTGATTGTTGCTTTTAGGTGATACATGAATTAAATTGATTGTTGATAATTTTTATTCGGCGCTGCGGTTGGACGGAATATTGTGTTACCATCACTAGACTATCATGTTGCCAGATTTAAAAATTCAGCTTTTTCAAGAATCCGCTCGACGCTAGCGCCGAATTACGATAGTTACAAAAAAAGTATATATGACAAACATTTACTTCCAAAAATTTCAAACAATGAATCTATATTATAGCTGTTCGCAACTTTTCATCAAACAAATTAATTCATGTAACATTTTAAATCAAGTGCCATTTAAAATCGTTTTTAATGTGTCGAACAATGAATCAGTGAATCAATTAAATGAATCAATTAAATTCAAACAAATAAATTGTTAGTTGAATAAATTGAAGTATGAATATTTGTGACGATAAAAAGTAAAACGGCGTTCCATAGTATGGTTTAAATCTGTTTAAAATCTGTTTTTCTGTTAATCAGCTGTCGCCCCAATACGAACGACAACTCTCAGAAGTTGAGAAACTTGTGCGAGCTAAGGACTAACGAGGTCTTATACCTTTAACGTGTGATTCCTAACACGGTGTGTTCAATAATTATCAAACCTATGGGGAAAATGTTAAATTTGGTATCGGAAGTGAAATAATTGACTGAAAATTTTCTCGTTAGTGGAAACAAGAATTACGGCAAGACGCCGATTACGACAGGGTGAAAGAACTTAGGGGCCGCCCATTGATTATGTGATATTTTTTCAGAATTTATTAACCCCTCCCCCTTGGTGATACGTGGTGAGATTGAAGACTAACCCCCTTCACACACTCAAAATCACGTGTATTTTTCAATACCTACAAAGAATCTTGAATTTTTTTTTACTTATACCCTGCAAATAGGACTTTATACAGATCATCTAGTTTAAACATAGTTTTAATGAAAAATGTACGAGGTAATGGGTGTATGCATGTATTTGGCACCGAAATAACGGAATATGAACTGGCGACTGGCAAGCCGAGCCGAGCGGTCGTCATGGTGCGCGGCGCACAGGTACTTCATTCGCTGGCAACGGCGAGTCAAAGTCATAGTACATTCACCCTCCCTTTGTGATATTTCGTGATTTTTGCTAAACCCTCTATTCCCCTTTCGAACTTCATGTGTGATTAATGGACGGCCCCTTAAGAGAATGTTCGAGGCTTTGCAAGCATCCTTGACAGAGAATGAAGAAGAAATATCTAAAAATACAAAAAAAGTTCAGGAGAAACAAGAAATCGACATAGAGGAAAATCGTAAAGCATTGATAAATATTCGGCAAAAACAAGAATAGAAAAAAATTGCTAATTGAAAAGTTAGAAAAAGACAGACATGACGGGGAGGTACAAAAGTTTATTCAGGAAAAATTTGAATGAGTTGTTGAGAACATGAAGAAAGCTGACGTCGAAAGGTTGGTAAGGCTGGCCTATCCAGAAGTACCCCATAAATTTACCCACTAGATTAGTGTCTATAGCTTCGTCGATGTAGTTCGTGACACGGAGTTGTAGCTGTCGCTGAGGATGACGCGTCACTCTTTGAGGAAAATCTGACGAAATCGAAATTGAAGCAATGAGATCAGGAATGAGCGCCGACATTTCCAATACAAGTAAATTGAATACGTTATTAGCAGTTCCTATTCTGGAAACAGCTATTGGAAATAGATTGATTGTTTATGAAAAAGCTGAAGTGAGACTCAGGCTTGTAAATTGTCAAATGGAAATTAAGGTATATTAGTAGTCAACATCGTCAATGAATTCATTTTGGGAATAAACATCATTTATTTTTCATAAAATGTCTATGATAAAATACTGTAAAAATCATACGATTTACTCATCTAGTTGAGTAAAACATAATATAATGTTCTTACTCTACAATTACAAAAATTATTTGGTTAAGAAAGTAACATTAAATAACCAAAAAGGTACCTTTCAACAATCACATGTTCGAAAATTACAAATTCAAACCCGTTATGTGCCAGATGTCACTCTCACCACAACAAAATCATTGGTTAGAATTTTGACGTTTGGTTCACCGATTTTCAGATAACCGTGTTCCGTGTTCCATGACTTTCCGATTTTCCAATAGTACCACAGATGCTGTGACCACAGTAATGGTACCACATTTCTGGTTACTTTTGGAATGTACTATATAATTGAAAAAATAATTTATTTGAGAAAATCTCTTCGAGAGGATTTTGTAGACGAGAATATGTTTTAAAAACTGCAAGAATCTCACATGATCACGAAACAACGAGTTTTCTGCAGCTGAAAATCAAATGGGCCGACTGAAAAATGACGGCCTAGATTACTCAAGTTGCTCTTTTACATTTTAATAAAAGTTTCACAATTTTTCTGTCATCTTGATCATCGCAAAACTATTCTAGAAATTCATCACTTATCTCTCAATTTGTGGGTAACTATTAGGGTGTTAAGTATTAAAATTGGGATTTTGAAATTTTGCCTAGGAAAAGTTTCCCTGAAAAAAAAAGATGAAATCATTTATGAACTTTTCTCTATTTTTCAAGGTCACAACGAAATCGGATGTCTGATATCTCCATTTGTAATTATCGTCATTTCTCATTTCGTCACATGACATACGACCCCCTTTTCCTAGTTGATCGAGTTGAGCCACAGAATTGTAGTTGAGCATTGAGCAGATGAGCAGTGTCGTTTAAGCTGAAAGCTGTATTTGTCAGAGGGTCTGTAGTTTTTATGAGCGGTGCACCATCAACATAGTTCTGGTTTGTGAATATTCTCAAAAAAACTCAGAATGGTTGTTAACACAGAAACTAATCCCGTCTATGGACCCTTCTTTGGCGTTATGGGGGCCGCTTCGGCTATTATATTCAGCTGTAAGTAGATTTTCACAAATTACAATATTTTAGGAAACTTCACATGACCTATTCTCTCTTCTTATCTGTAGGGTGTGCACTTTTGAAGTTATCTTAACCTGTGAATATTGTTAAACTCCCGATGGTTTTCACTAAATCAAATCAAATTTTGAAATCCTTCCAGATTCAAGGAGGCTTTTTAGACCTGTATGTACAAACATTATAGTGACTGTGATTCGTCAATATCGATTCTGTGCCATCTATTTTTTTAAAATGTTATCAACTTATAGACATTTCAGTAATTATTGTATTCAACTTATGTATAGTTAGTATTCAAAGCTGGTTACAAAAATAATCCTAATGAGTTTCTGGTTTGAAATCTTTTTAACCACTTGGAATGGTCAATGACCTAGTAGTTCATAGATGGATTTAATTTTTCAAATCATTTTGGTGAAAGTTTTAAAGAATCCTAAGCAATTTTTTTTTACATTCTCATAAAATGGATTTTAATACCTAAGTACACCTACCTATCATATTTCCAATGATCACATGTCATCCAAGGCACACCCAAATGAAATAATAATTGGTCTTAATATGAGAAATTGATGTTTTTTTCATAAGGGTAACTATTGATTCCAAAGCATTTCATATTAAAAATAGAAATTGAAAAAAAAAGAATAAATTTGTTGTATTTCTCTATAGTGTTAAGCCTTACTTCAATTGGGAGCCTGTATCAAGCACACAATAATTCTAGTCAAAACTATTGTCACAAGCAAATCATGACTTACTGATTAGTCAAACATATTTCTAGAGTAAGCTCATCCCATTTACTATTTTGTTGACAATCCTGTTCCTGTTTGCACCACTTAAAACTAAGTAGAATAAACATAAAATTATGAAATAATTAGCATTGTTGAATCAAAGAGTGTACACTTTCACGGATGGAGATAACTCTGTTTAAGGTATTTTCCGGTTTTGTCAGAGGTGGTTTGCAGATTTTATGCTTGCTGTTTCTTCTACAACTGCGGTAGACATTCTAAAAAGCTATGCTTGAAGTAGATACTACAGAATACTTTCAGTCAATTGAATAACCTCTTACAAGTGCTATGAAGTGCATAAAGCCAAGCCGATTATATTAATATTGATTTCTTTTTTCTTTGTTTCCTAATTTCTATTGCCTCATAAATAATCTAGGATAGTAACTCTGTGTTCTACCTAACATAGTTTGAACAACCTTCATCTGCTTTGTAAATCAAGCTCAAGAGCTGGAGAACCGAGAAGCTCTTTCTCTTGATTCTTTGTTATAATAGGTAGTTAGGGTTCTTTACTCGACGTTCGTTTCCACTGTTGACTGAAATTATTTGGAGAACCTGCTTAGGGGGAGATTATTTCTTCTCCTGACGATATATTTGGTTGAGGTAGATTCATGAAATATCTGACTTTTTGGGAGGCGATAAGTTAGAGAACTCCTGCTCTTGATCTCAAATATTATAGGTGGGACAGTTGAGATCATTTGATTAACCCCCACATCCTCTTCAAACTCAGCTGAACAGCAGAAGAAATGGGAAAATCTTGCTATTGATCTTCTGCTAAAAGGAAGGCAGTTGGGGTCGATTAATTGACAGCCATCTCCTCTGTAGAATCAAGTTCAGGATTTTGGTTACTTCATGTTCCATAAGGAATCCCACGAGTAGCTAGAATAATGGAAGGTCCATCACGACAGAGTTCAACATCACTGTGGCATAGCTTGCTATGACCAGAGGACTACTGGAATATCATGGACTCAAGTGTCATACATCCTTTTGACTGATTCACACACCTCAGGATGATACATCATTTAGGGGCATTATTTCGTCTGTTTATGTTAGTATTTTTTTACTTGAACAAAGATCTTAACGTTCATATGCTTTACTAGTTGCATACATTCGGTAACAAAGTTAAACTAGTAGTGGTTGGTAGGAGCCATTGCTGTTAATATGGTTTACTGAGTAATAAAATTACTCAAAAAATTCTGGAATCTTGTTCACTGATTATATTCAACCATAACTTCCAGGGTGATATCTGAATCAGCAGAAAGTCTATTGAATAAAAACACTTTTTCCTTATCAAAATAATTACACTGTCTGTAGACAATCCATGGGAATTTGACATCCACAAATATACATGGAGAAACAAAATTAACATCCCAATTGGTGGGAAGACTAGATGAAATACTCTATGATCAATTTTGAAATAAGGTCACATAAAATGATGTTAGATATGATATTTTTACTAAATTTTGTGATATAATAATAATAATAGTAATAATAATACCTTTATTACCCAACAGTTAAAACCATTTACAACTTAAGTCTATATTATTATAAAAACAATTTGAATTTGATAAGGATGGATGCAAAGTATTTTCATCAACTGCAGAGTGTGAACATGCACTGTGAAAAAAATTTGCAAAACTATTTACAATGCCATCTGGAAAATCAGTAGTGAAGTCATATTTCATCCTACCTGGAATACGGAAGGTCCTATTCTTGGAATGTACGTATGACCACAACAATGATTGAGGATTAGATACTACAGATTATCNACAAATAGTATAAAAGACGCCTTTGATAACCAAGAAAAATATGTGAGCGTTTTTACAGATCTTACTTCAGCATTCGACTCGGTAAATCACTCGATTTTATTAGCCAAATTAGATTTCTACGGAGTGAGAGGTGTCTGCCTGGACATGATGAAGTAATACCTTAACGTGGAAAGTAGCGCATTATATAATGCAGGATAATTGGCTCATTTGAAATAATTTCTTTTTGTTTTGATTATCATTTGAGTTGAAACTAGATTCGTCAATCAAAAAATTATTGAAATCAATAATTAGAGCTGGATATTTTCTCTTGTTACCTCACATTTCATAATGAAAATGATCAGGTCCAAGAGCCTATTCCAGTCATGCAAGATATTATTTCATTGGTTCATATTCAAGAAGTTAATCATATTATAGAGAGTGTAGGACTTGTTATCAAGAGCGGAGACACATACAAAATTAGGAACATTGAAATCACCAATTAAAGCAATATTTTTTGTCTGCAAAATTTCTAGTCGTAAGTCTCAGTGCTTACAGATGGTGGAATATAAATAACACCCACAAAATGAAATGTGCTTTAAAAAGCATCTACATGTAATCAAATCAATGAGGGGAAAATTATTATAAAATAATTCAACATTTACTATTTCACTTCGAATACTGTTTTTCATAGCTAGCAAAACACCACCACCACTTTCTCGAGATACAACATCTAATTTACGGACTTTTCTGAACACTATGTAACTTTCAGAAAAATATTCACTATTGGAGACGTCAGACAATAAATTAGTTTCCCATAAAGCAATTAGATTCTTGACTGATAGCAGAAACGGTTTATCCAACTTATGGAACATGTGAAATTTTGCATGTCTAACTGTCAAGCAAAAAAGTTTGCTTTCTCTTGTAGCAGAGGTCCATTAACGGGTATTCCCCGGTCGCGGTGAAGCTTGAACCACTGTAACAATGCGTTATTCATAAGTAGAAGTCTTTACACCTTTGCATTTCAAAACATTGGCATTAAACAGCGGCTCGATTTTTAGTGGATATTGTAGAACGAGATACGCCAAACTCCTTTGCAAGGGCTGAATTTGATTCTCCGGTACTCTAACAATTAACCATCTCGAAACCCTTTTTGAAAAATAAAAACTCTTTCAAGTGTGGTATGACAGGTTAACTCTGAATGAAAGAGGGCTTGGTGTTATTAAAGCAGTAATGTAATTGCTTCAAGATATAGTATTATTCACAGTTGTTTTATTGTGTCCAAGATCATCAGTTTCATTTATTATTTTTGAAAAAGAAGTTGGTATCATTGGTATTAAAAATTTATGATTTGAGGTACATCATTGATGTATGTTAAAAAGAGGTGAGGTCCAAAAATAGATCCTTGTAAATAACTCAGACGGCTTCAGATATTCCAAAATTTTTTGTTTTTATTGTTTCCAGCTAGTTTTATACATTATTTTATGGAATTGATATTCTATCCTTTTTTCTTTAAGAAAATGAACTTTCATTATTATTTTTTAAGGGCTGTTCAATATAATTTTGGAGGTTCTTCAGTATTTCTCTGTAAACGTGGAAAAATCTTGAAGTTCCGTAATTTGTTTTCTATTTTTTCAGTGGTTTCGTACATTTGGGTGCAGGACTTTCAGTAGGCTTCTCTGGACTTGCTGCTGGCTTCGCCATTGGTATTGTAGGTGATGCTGGGGTCAGAGGAATAGCGCAACAACCAAGACTCTTCGTAGGAATGATTTTGATTCTCATTTTTGCTGAAGTATTAGGTCTTTATGGTCTCATTGTAGCCATCTTTCTGTACACTAAATCATAAATTACTAGAGTACAACATAGCAAACAAAATGTTGAGTCTCACCTCATTGCTTATCATTTTGTTTTCAATGTTTCAGTCACTATAAAGGAAAATGATTGTATAACATTCGTAACAAGGGGTCGAAGTGACAAATGTGGGAGTTGTAAATTGGTTAATTTTTTTAGGACTGATAATTCAGAAGTACAAGAGAAAATAAACAACACTCCCACGAAAGATGTGACTTTCTTGAATGTGACGTCTGACTTGTATTGTTTTTCTTTCATTATGCCTGGTACTCTCCTACACTAGTACTATCACTGTAAATAATTTTAATAGAATTGAATGCGTTCAACTTCATTTTCATAGCTAGTCACCTCTTATCGGTAAATTAATTGTATGTTTCTTTTTTCTTTTCTATAAGTAAGAAGCTCTACGGAGTTCACCAAATATTTGTGAAAAGTTTCTCAGTTTTAATATTAGTATGATCATGCCTTTCTTTAAAATAATTGATAGTTATCTTTTTTTTTAATTGTGGTATCAAAATGAACATTAAACATAAAACTAAACTTTCAAATGGTGTATGAGTGTTCGTACATTGAAGAGTCATTAGTTAATATACTCATTTTTTTGTTCCAC